AATTCCCATGTGGTGGAAAAGCGCATGGCGAGGTACAGAGCTATTCCAGCACGGCACTTCGGGGATGAGAAGTTGCTTCAGCTTTTGGAAGTCAGAGGAAGTGGTGGTGGTATCCTCTGGGGGGGGCTGGCTTATCAGTCAAGAACTCAGACTCTGGATCCCAGAGTTCGAATCCTGGCTTAGGTCTTTAACCTCTCTTCCTCGGTCTCCTCATCTGGAAAAAGGGTATAAGACTTAAACTAATGTTTGTAAAGTTCCCAGTGCAGTAGTGGCTAGCACAAATTAAATACTCAATGAATTTAGCTATTATGACCAATTATTATCATCATTAACGGTAGGCAGCAAGACTGTGGAGAAAACATGGTCTGGTTTCTGGGGAAGAGGGTTGGTAAGACAAGGCACAGGCCACTTAGCTACCAGCTGTTAAAGACAAGGCTAAGAACCTGACCGTGAAGGTGAACTGAAGGGTCCTTAGTGAGGGTGACCAGAAAGAAACCAAGTCGAAAGCTGGAATCTCACAGGACTGAGAGTGCTGCCCACTCAGGGGACCCTCCTGTGCCACTCCAGAATTCCATGCCCGAGCAGATGGGTCTGAAATAGCTAATATCCTTTGCTGAATTTCAAGAGCATGCAGGAAGATGCTGGGCTAACCCAAAAGGGAGAAAAAATAAAGGGAAAATGATCTTTTAAACAATTACAATATCTTTGGAAACATATATTTGCATGTATATGTTATGGTATACCTAATAAAAATTTCCCCACTTAAATATACCAGTCTTTACTGAGATAAAAGCAAAAACTATAATCCTATTATTCACAGTAAGCCTGTACTTTTCCCTAGCAGTGAAGTAAACTGCTGTACTCAAAGTATTCTAATACTATTTTTCAAACTGAAAAAATTATGAGAACCTCACTGCAGTCTTTAAGTTTAGCTATTATGCAATACCATTCCTTGCCTTTATCACTGAATTTTATAGAATATTTAGTATTTGTTGGGAAAAGAGTTGAATTAGCCCGATATGAGTAATCTCACATTTATTAAAGACATGGCCAGTTATAATCCATAATTGTTGTTTAAAATAAGCTACTTTTGTAAATAAGACTAAATCTAACCTCTATAACTTCTAAAAATGTGATATCCAAATGAGGTAACAGGTTAGGCGTTTTAACATCTGTCTAGGTGCTCTCTGATGCTATACTTCCCTCTTGTGGCGAATATGGAAAACTGCAGCCTGAAGTTTTTTTTCCTTGCAGTTTCTTATTTTTCAGTGCTTTACATATTCTTGTATACTGCCTTAAATACTCTCTACTTAAAATACTAAACAAATAAGTAAACATATTTATAAGATGAGCAGTGTTACCTAAGGTTAAAAATAAGTGTTTGAAAATCCATCTGCCTGGATTCAAATCCCAGCTGCCACTTACCAGCTGTGAAAAACTGGGAAGCTTACTTAGGTTCTCTATACCTAGTTCTTCATCCATAAAATAAGGATAATAGTAGTACTTAGTGTTATTATGAAGATTAAAAGAGTCGGTATATGGAAAGCATTAAGAACAGGAGCTGACATATAATAAGTGCCATTAAAAATGAGAGCTAGAAGGTAAGTTACAGCCCATTCCCAAGTACGGAGAAACAGGAGCTCTCAGGGACCCACAGACCATTGCCCAAGACCACAGCTCCTCAGAGAGAACATTTGGCACAGAGCACAGAAACTGAAATGGCAACCAAATTGAGTTATGATTATGTCGCTTTCCCCCCAAGTACGTAAGTCACAGAATATTAATGCTATACGTGGGATCTCGGGGTGCACTCCACCTGGCCTCTTCCTCTGGGCTCAGAGGGGTAACTCGGTTCTCCCGGCACATTTCCAGAACTTTTTCCACTGGTCCCCAAAGCCACACGATGTGATAACTGCTTAATGCTTCCAAGTCCTTATAAATAGATGTCATTTCCATGAAGAGAAAAGGACAAAGCTGTGATTGACCAACCATAGATTATCCACACAGAAACCTAGGAGCGGTCTGGAGGGAGACAGATCTTTGGAGACAGAAAAGCTTCCCTACCCTTCCCCGCCCCCAATGTTTAAAATGCAAATATTTTCGAGAAAATAAGTACAAGGACTGATCTGATCAGTGACAGAGCAGCCAGTACTGGGAATTCTGATGTAAGGCGGACTGGCTCTGCAACATTTTGGGTACCCATGTCCTCTGTAATGGACTGTGACACATCACTGTGATCCATCTTTAGAACTGACAAACCTCTGTGGAAACTGTCCTTGGCTACTTTACTCAAGGCCATGTCCCCTTCCCAACATGTGGTCAATGAGAAGGAATAAAGACCCAGCACCGTCAGAACAATGGCGGACAACTCTGAAGGGCTAATTCCAGCTTCAGAGGTCCCTAGTGCAGGGGTCCCCAGGCCCTAGGCCACAGTCCGGGCCGCACAGCAGGAGGTGAACGGTGGACAAGTGAGCAAAGCTTCACCTATATTTGCAGCAGCTCCCCAGTGCTAGCATCATGGACAGCTCCATCTCAGATCATCAGGTATTAGATTCTCATGGGAGCACTGGTCCCTAGTGCCATAAAGTTGGGGACTGCTGATTTAGGGGATCAGCCAGGGCCCTTGTTGAGACCAGACCGCATCACAGCCCAGCTTCTCCCTCATTCAGTCCTGCTTCCTTCCCTTGCAGGAAATTATCCTGAGAACACACCCAAGTGGACTTCCTGAACATTAATCCCTCAGAGGCCGCTTCCCAGAGCCCACCTGTGCTAGCCCTTTTCTCATAAAACCCCCACATTTCATTCCTCTTGACCCGTTTTTTGGTAACGGTGCTTTTCTTTTTTCAATTTAAAACAAATCCAATTGCATACTTAACCCCTCCAACCTAAGGCAAGTCTGTGCTTAATATCCAGCAAAAACTATTTAAAATCTTTTCCCCATTGCTACTGTATAAATGGCTGCTGCTTCCCCAACCTGATTTCTATTTAAAATTCATAATGAAAGCATAAATATATTCTCACTGTAAAAGCAAGGCCTTTTGATATCCCTTTCCCATAACAGTCTCATGCCACTGTTTTCAGTTCGGGATGCTACAGATTCTATTACACAGGCCTAGAAAGTCTCTCTTCTTCGCTGCCTTGACAACCACTGCTGTCATCATCTGTATGCCTCAGCCAGTCAAGATTTTGAAAAGCATTAATTTCCAGCAGGCTATTTCATAAACCAATTTTTTTTCATTTTCCAAACATAAAATAGTATTAGAATGCTTTATTAAATGCTGTTGTTCAAATACCTTAATCCGTTTATATGGATTAACTAACAACCATTTGGGAAGGAGAATGCAACCTGGTTTAAAGCATCTGTGGAAACATTCACAGTATGTTTGGTAAGTTTAAAATGCAGTCAAGTATGATTTTAAAAATAACATCGAAGTATTAGATAATTCATGTTTAGAGCCATGATGAAGGCCTACCCTGAATCCCTAACCCTGAGGAACTCTACAGAAAACACAACAGTCACCAGGAACCAAGATCAAGATCAGACCATTCCAGAGCCACTGAAGGGAAATTTCAGGCATGCGCTTACGTCTCCCAGGACACCAGAAGTCATATTTCTCAGCGGAGGTGAGCCCAGGGTCAACTCAATCCCGGTGCTTCATGGTGCTGAAACGTGCTTTGCACAGGCAGGAAATTCATTCTCAAGTAGAACAGACAAGCCCCCAGCCCCCGCCAAAAACAAATCAAGATGTCTGAAGAAATACACTTCACTTAGCAGAGGATGGCATCTTCCAAAGGTATCTGGCTGCTCGGGACAGGTTATTCATTATGCACTTTTGAATAAGAAAACTGAAAATGCAAGGCTACCTTGGGAGATAAAAGAACAGTTATTTCAGGGAGGAAAAAAACTCTAATGACAAGGACAATGAGAGAGGAGAAAAGGCCGAGTGAGGAAATGTGTGGGAGGGGCAGAAACGACAGCAAGGATAAACCATCACAAAACTGCATAGAAGGAATAGCAGGCATCGAAGCTACACTGCTGCGCTGCTGTATGCATCATCGATGCTTTCGGCTGCAACTAACAGAGAACCCACAAGGCCCATCCTTCTCATGTAACAAAAAGTCTGGAGACAGCTTTTGCTGGTGTTGGTTCAACAGTTCAGCTATGTCAGGGTTCACATTTCTGAGATCTGAAGTCTATCCTTCCTGGTCATAAGACAGCTGCATAAGATAGCTCACTGGAAGGTGGCCAGTGAGAAGCGCTGGAAATGGAGGGAGCCAGGCAACCAACTTTCTACCACAGTAATGAGAAAACTGGGCAAACTGGGCTTCTCTGAAAGGAGAGCCTAGCAAAAGGGTGGATGCTGAGTCCTCAGCATCCAGATGGAACCTAACTGCTCCCACCTCACCAGCTGCTGCACAGGCTGAAGGGTCTAGAGAAACATGTAAATTCCCATATTGCATTAGTATATGGGACAAAATAGCTACTCCAAGCTGTGTTTCATTTGTATTACCCAAGAAACTCTACCTAGAGAACTCTCTTTCAAAAGAAGTTCAGACTTTATGAACAAAGTAGTAAAATGAAATAAATGAATTTGAATTGCTACAAAACACAACCAAGTTAAAAACGCACATTTATTTTACATTCTATTTACAAAGCAACAGAATGTAACTATAATAAGGAACAAAGAAAATAAAAATCATAGATATACATATTTACACAGCAAGTATAGGCAAAACATAGGAAGAAGATTCTTTAAATACTAATATTCATCAAATCAGTTTCTAAGAATAACTCTTTATCACCTCAAAAATTTTTAGGAGGCTCAACCTATATAATTAAAATATCTTAATTTAAAAAATTACATTCTTTGAAAACCTCTAAGGTCCTGGAAGCCCAATAAACCAGATCAATATCAGTTTTTAAGACTCAAAGGTTCTTAAATTAGGAAGCCATAATTGCTTTAAGAAATTGCTTTGAAAACCTCAAACATACCAGCTGTCGTTTGCTAGGTAGTACAATACAGACTCAGCTTACATTAATTTCTTAATCCATTAAAATGGTTTCTGTTACAGTGAGACCCTGCTGTTCTCTAATGAGAAACATGAGCTCTTAGGAAAATCATTCAAAGTGTGTATTCAGCTTTTAATAACATTAACATACATGAAAAAAATTAATATACCTAACTATCATCAGTAACCAATTAACTGCTGGATCTTCTAAAATCAGAGAAAGGTATTCTTAAGAGTCAAGACTCTTCAGACCTCTGCACTCATATATCCCAGTGCACAGACCTCATTTAACTTCATTAACAGAAGATTAACACGTAGTAAGAGACATGCTGGCGTATTTCTGCAATCTTTCCTTTTAACTGTAGACACCGCTCACGTCGTTCACACCTTGGTCGTACCCTTTGTTTGCCAGTCCTTCCTTTATTTCACTGTCCTTCTGACTGTGAAATGTGATGTCCAAACTGAAATAAAGCAAATATTTAACACATAAATTATGTAAAACTTAATTAATGTTAAAAAAAAAAAATGGCATCACGAGCACCAGTTGACCTCTAAAGGTTTAATTCATTCAACAATAAATAGTTATTTGGGCTATGTATCAGGTACTGTGCCTGAAACTATACAAAAAGAGATGTTCTTTCTCTAAGATGCTTTAGTTGGTTGGAGGGAAAATGCTAAGAACAGCGAACAGTGTAAGATGGATGACCCTGTAAAACTTCATGGTCCACTAACACTGGGAAATGGTACGTTCTGCCCAAGTGAATTTCTTCGGTGACTGCAGGTTTTCAAACACCCTAGAATTTTAATAAGCCAAGTTCTGGTCACTGCTCTGTGGGGTTAGGGGAGATTACTTAAGGAGATTACTTTCCTTGTGCGTAAAACAGGTAATATTAGCTCCAGGGCTTTTCGTTTTGTTTTTTTTTTTTAAGATATTGTTGTAAAGATTAAATGGGATGAGTAAAAAAGTACTTGGCAAGTTATAAATTTCTATACAAATATTAAGCATCTATTTTTAGACAATTTGCATTTTTACTATACTAGTTCTAAACTATATACTTTTTTGTCTTCGTAGAGTTAAGAATATAATTATCTGAGTGAACATTATATCGGATATTGTACACACACAAAGAACTCAGAGACCACACATGAAAGAACATGAAGACGATCATTTTCCCCCGCTGCCATGCTCTCTGAGTTGCTACCTGCTTCTTAGCTCCATCTCCTCCTCTGCCAATGGCTACCACTCCTCAAGGCTATTCACGTGCCCGTAGACACTGTCCCTCTTTCACGGTCCTCTCGTCACCAAGGCTTATTCTTATGTACCACCTCAACCAAGTTATGAAATGGGAAAACCACCCCCAAAATATGAATTATGACTGAATTAAAGAAAAGAGAATTCGAGACACAAGCTTAAAGGTCAAGTGTTTGAAATACAATGTGTGAAATACTGAGCAACCAAAAAGCATTGCTTTGAAGACAATTAGGGTCCCATTTGAGAAAAATACTGGAGTATTCACATGTAACTATGGTTAGGTAGAATCTATCAAACCATTTTTCTCTGCTCCCCTCAAAGCTTCAGGCACTCAGTTCATACTGTAGACACAACATCAAGTGAGCACCTGTCCAGGATGAACCATTATAATAAACTTATACAAAATATTTTTCAAATCAAGTATTTTATTTCAAAAAACTTCATAGAAGGATAAAAGCTAAAATGAGCATGTAAAAGTTAACAAAACAATAGAAACATTAGCAGCATCAACAAATAACTGTATAGCCAATTCCGCATAATAACTTCAAGAGAGCCTGAAGGCCAAGATATATCAGGAACAATACACTTTAGAAAAACTGAAAAATTAACTGTACATTATTAGAGCTCACCTTTGAATTTTCTGGACTGGAAAATGGAGAAGACTCCCAAGACCTATTTTCTCTCTCAAAGGAATCATCTTCTTGGAATGCGAATTTCTGCTTAAGTGCCTGGGATATTAAAGACACTGGATCCCAATTTGAATTCTGTCTTTTCCTCTTACGAATGGGTCTGCCTCCAGGTGATCTGTTTTTTAAAAATATTAAATAAATTAAAATTTTGTGTAATTTAAGGTCCTTGACAACGAACATAGCAGAAATACAAGCATAATGTATTACAATCTAATTAGTCTTCAGGAGATTGAAATTTTTTTACCATGAATGAATGTAATAAGAATCAGAAAACCAAGAACCAAGTGGGGCCCTAACACAACCTTGTTATGACCTAGGATTTATCAAATACCTCTATGCTGAAGATCTTTATTTTGAATTATCTAATTTTTCAATGGAAAACTTAAAAGAAACACTTAAGAACTTTTAAGAAGACTACAGAGTTCATGAAAAGGAAACCATTAGCCTAATTGTTCATTCGATCTTCACTTAATGCCTACTAATATACCAGGCTCCACTTTGTACTTCGAGGGTACAGCAGTACGCTGCTCCTGTGGAACACTCTGGTGGCAGATCCTCAGTAAACAAGAAACAAGATCACTGTGGATAGAGATAAGTGCTGCGAATAAAAACAGGTGACATGACAGCAACGAGGACGAAAGAACTTTAGGTGAGATGATCGGGAAAAGTGTCATTAAAGAGATGACATCCTCTTTAAGGAAATGCCAGGAGTCCATTTTAACGTAAATACCCGGTGGGTGCATCAGAAAGGAGCTTGGCATGTGTGAGAAAAGACAAAAAAAAAAAACCAGGTACAGCTGGAATGCAGTGAGTACCATGGGACGTAGGGCATGAAGTCAGAGAGAAAAGCAAGGGCTGGATCCTGGAGGGAGTTACAGGCCACACGGCAAGGTGTCTGTATTCTATTCTAAGCACATGGAAAATCACCAGAGGTTTTAAGCAGGGAATGGCATGATCTGACTTCAATTTTTAAAGGATTACTCTGGTTACTCCGTGGAGAAAAGACAAGGAGTCAAGAATGAAAAGAGAGAGACCAGTTAGGAGGCTACCGCAGGGATCCAAGCCAGATGAGAGGGTGAGATGGCAGTTGGTTCATGAGGGTATACAAATTTGAGCTATATGCTGACGGAAAGAATATGGGACAGAAAGGAAAAGAAAAAACAGGATTCCTGGATGTTTGGACTGAGCAACTAGGTGATAGTGTTGCCATTTACTGATATGCAAAAGGTTTGGGTAAGAACAGGCTTTCAAGGTGGAAGAAGGGAACAGGTAAGGAGGAAGAGTTGTTTTGGAGACGTGAAGCCTAAGATATGTGAGACAGTAAACTGAAGATGTCAAGTAGGAATTTTGTCAGGTAAGCATGGGGCTCAGAGGAGAGGTCAGGGATAGAAAAATAAATATAGGAGTCATTATCATACAGCTGGTAAAGCCATAGGACTGGATGAGATCAACAAAGGAAACAATGTGGATGGAGAAGAAAAGAGGACAGAGATCTGAGCCTTGGACATGCCAACATTTAGAGACCAGGCCCAGAGGAGGAAGAAGCAAAAGAGTAGGAAGAAGTGGACAATGAGGGAAGAGGAAAACCAACTCTGACTTCCTTGAAACCAAGTGAAGAAAATGTACCAACAAGAAGGAACCACGAACTATAGCAAATACTACCAAGAGGTCAAGAGGAGCAATGACATTTGACAACATGGAGCCACTGGTGACCTTGACAAGAGCAGTTTTCACTAGAGTGATGGGGACAGACACCGTACTGCAGTGGGTAGAAGGCAGTGAGAAACTGAAACAAACTATAGATGACATCTGGAATTTCTATCAGAAAGGGGAACAGAGAATTAATAATAGCTGGGGGTATACATGTTTTGAAGATAGATACTCAGATGTGAGGAGAAAGATAAAAAAGGAAAATTGGATGATGCAGAAGACGGAAGAAATAACTTTAAGTGAAATCTTGAGAAGAGAGAAAGGGAACCAGCGACCATTGGGAGACCTGGACACAAACAAGGACAACACTTCTCTACTCACTGTAACAAGAAGGAAGGCAGAGAACATGGGTAGTAAATCTGCAGGTGTAAAAATGTGAGAGATCTCATCCGATTTCGCAGTAATGTATAATGCAAGGTTAATCGCAGAAACAGGGAAGGTATTCTGCTGGCCTCTGAGTTGTGTCTCCCGTGATGGTAACTGGCAGAGTCCCCACTTCACATTGTCTGCGCCCAGTGATACCAGTAAGCAAGCTAGCTGGGATCAAGTGTGTACATATAGCCTTAAAATTTTTCTCTATCCTAGCTGCCTCATACAAAGATTAAATCACAACCTCATTATTAATGAAATGACCTGTCTTTGCTAACACTATGATACAGAAAATGTATTTATTTTCTCACCAGAAACCTCACCATGGGATTTCCAGGTGAACATGGCAGATCTCTGTGAAATCCTACTAAAAGGAGAGTAAAAAAATAAAAAAGATATATACCCACAAAGATTACAAGAGGAAAGAGTATATACAAACTGAAATAAAATGTTGACAGCTAAAAATGCTGATGAAAATGAAGGGGGTGGGGGGGGGGGGATCTGCCTTCCTGAAAAGAGAGATTAAGAAAAAGTCTACATTCCGAATGATACATTCCTTCCTTGTTCTCCTTCCCTACTCAACCCTCAAACTACATGGTTTGCACCCCCTTCCAATTCTCATCTCTCCTGACCAAGACGGTGACTGAAGAACTTTCTAGGAAAACTGTAGCCACAAAGAAAATACATACAGCTACTGAACTATGGGATCTGGCCAACAAAATGGTCAGGTTATCTACTCAATCACTAAATTGTAAAGCCCACCAGTTGATAGTCCACCTCACACAAAGGACCTTCAATCAGATTTTCATTGCTTCACTTTTAAATACAAATGTATAGCCAAGAATCACTAGATACTTAAGGCTCCAAAACTACAGCTAGAAACCAAAATCAACAAGAAGAAAAAGGAATGCAGGAAAAATACAGTAATTCAAGAGCAAAAGAAAACTTAAAACTATAATTAATACCTTCAGTGGAATACGACAAACAAAAGTAAGAAGGTACAAGAAAAGGAGCATTCAGAGAAAAAATGGCTCTTGCAAATTAAAAATATGGCAAGTAAAAATGCAATCAGAGTTGAAATTACAGTAAATTAAAGAATTTTCTTAGAAAGTATAATAAAAAAGCAAAGAGAAAGAAAATAGTAAAAGGAAAGATATGAAGATGAAGTGGAATAATTCTGTCATTCAAAATTCTAAAGGAGTTCCAAGAAAACAGAGGAAAAGAATGGGAGAAAATTATCAGATAAATGTTTATAAGAGATTTTCAAAAACAAAGGACCTAAAACTCTAGACTGACTGAGTCCACAAGTGTCCAGCGTAATAAAAAAAAGAACTCTCTCGGGCACATACATTGTCATAAAATTTCAGAATATCTAGACTAAAGAGGTCTTAAATGCTTCAAGAATAAAGAAGCGGGTTTCATACCAGCATTTAGAATGACATCAACTTCTCAAGAGGAACACTGGAAGCTAGGAATCAATGGAACAATGTCTTCAAATTTTTGAGAAATTTTTTTTCTGCCTATTACACTCCCAGCCAAACTAGCAATTAAGTGTGAGAATAAAATAATAACATTTTCAGATAGGCAAGGTCTTAAAATAATCTACTTCATATGCGGTCTTTCTCAAGAAGCTTTAGGAACATATGACACCCAGGAAGTGGGTAATGCCACACCGGAGAATGGGTAAAAAGAATGCCCGTGAAGGAAATGCTTCGAAAGACAATGCGGCAGGCTTAGACAGCAACAAGTGAAACTGGAGCAGGACAGAGGGCTCCAGGAGGAGAATTAAAAAAAGAAAAAGAAAAAGAAACGAAACCCATAAAGGCAATTATTAACTCCAATAAAAAATAAAATCATTCGACAAATAAAACGTAATCATAGTATATAAAATGGCTTACCTATAAATGTTCACTGTTATAAAGTATATGTGTACATGTGTGTGTGTAAGGGTAGAATGTCTAAGAATATATTCCTAATCTTAAACAATGGGAAGCAAATATAAATAAACATATCAAGAAATAGCAAAAGAAGTATGTTGTTTCAAAAATATGGAGATAATACACTAAAAGGAAGAGTAAAAAAATTAGAAATGATTCTCTCTAGGAAGGAATTTTGGGGTAAAGAAGACTAAAAGAAGATACATGTAATGTTTACTTTGATAAATAAAATCTTTAAAAACATCAATGATGAAATTTTGGTTAATTTCTCAAATTATGACAACATACCTTTCAACAGCACGAAGTTTAATCTTATTCATGTCCTTTAGAACATCCAACATGTTTGGAACATCTTTGTTTTTCTGGTTTTTTGAATGACGACTATAATTGGCCTTACTAGCCCCTGGGTGCTGTTTTCTCATTTCAGTTGCTGAATTATCTGAGTCACAAATATTATTTGATCCTGGTTGTATAAGAGGAGAACACGGAGGCTGTAGAGAAGACACCTGAGGGGGCAGTGGTGGTGGTGGAGGAGGACAGGGAAGCACTGAACTTGAAAATGGATCTTGTTCGACACTCAGTTGAGCAGTCCCTGATGATGGCATTGGTCCCAAACCACTAGGCTCATTATTCAAGTCAAAGGAGGCTAAAAACAAAGTAGTGTTGAAAAACCATGTGAAAATCCTCTTTAACATAACACATTGCACTAATTTAAACCAAAACAGGAACAATTTCTGCAATGCTACTAAAATAACGATATAGCTGGGAAGCAATCCCATCTGCTTCATAACTTCTGTAAGAGTCAAGCCAAATAGTAAATGTACTTATAATCCAATTATGATTCTCTGTGTAGGTCCTTAAAAAGTGGGAAAGGGAAGATGTATTCCAAAAAGAAAATAAAAAGTACTTTTCAATAATTCACATATAATCTGAATTTCAACCTCTATTTTAAAACCTAAAACTTGATCAACAACTTGTAGTGAGGAACAGTCAGAATGGTATATTCGCTCTATGATGACATTGTAGAAACACCCAAGTATATATTTTCTAGCCAAGAGCCTCAGATGAGTACATAGTAGTCCTCACTTATCTGCAGTTTCATTTTCCATGGTTTGTTACCCACAGCTAACTTCAGTCTAAAAATCTCAAATAGAAATTCCAGAAATGAACAATGCATGTGTTAAACTGTATGCCATTCTGAGCAGTATGATGAAATCTCCCACTGTCCCGCTCTGTTCCACCCGGGGTGGGGAGGAATCCCCGCTTTGTCCAGTGTCTCCACACTATACACTCGCTCCCCACTCATTAGCCACTTAGTAGCCATCTAGGTTATCACATCAGCTGTCCTGGTGTCACAGGGCTTGTGTTCAATAACCCTTACTTTACTTAATAATGGCCTCAAAGCATAACAGTAGTGATGCTGGCAATTTAGATATGTCAAGAAGCCACGACACCCTTCCTTTAAGTGAAGAGGTGTGTATGTACAGGAAAAAGCACAGTACATATAGGGTTCAGCACTATCCATGGTTTTAGGATATGTTCCACTGGGGGACTTAGAACATATCCCCCCTCGGTCACAACAGATTTGCTCCTAAAAGGCTGTGTGTCACATGAATGCTTAAAAAAAAAAAAAAAAAATGCATTTCTATCTCATTTTTACTGTTATTGCACATTATATAATAGTTATATATTAATTATGTATTTTTATGTTATATATTTATAACATAATTTACGTGTCAATATTGTTATATATAAATTATATATGCGTATATAGATGTGTATACATATGTGTATGTATATATATATGTGTGTGTGTATATATATATAACGTGTATGTGTACAGATTAAAGCAAGTTATGTCTCTAAAAATTTAGAAAAGGATCATCTGAAAAACATTATTCACCTAACTTGGTGGAAGAATAGCAGTAGTAAATTCAAACTACAAACACATGAAGCTTCAAACCTACACTCTTCTTTCAAATTAGTGTATTCTTCCTCTTAAATTTCCCATGCTCTTCCAAAAAGTTAGAAAAGTTTACTTAGAAAACAGGCTTTTGAATACAAAAGTACAATCTTCTGCAGTACAGCTAGCTCTTCTTTAAAACAAAGCCACCTCCCTCAATATCAATGTGTCTTAATTTATACTAAACAGACAATTTTTTATGTCCAACATCCTTTTTTATTTAATGTCATTCACAAGATACATGAACGACAAGCATTCTTATTCAGGACTGTACTGACTTAAATATTAGACAAGTATCATCTACCTGAAACAAAAATCTAATATGTTGCTTACCCGAATTGATACTATTTTTTAGTTCCTGCATTTTCACAATTGCAGCAATTTGAGAGCGAAGAAAAGTTAGTTCATCTTCAAGGGCAGCTATTTTTTTAATTGCAGCTTCACTTACAGGTGGATCATTTTTCAGTGGTTTGTTATGTTTTACAGCGGGTGACAATGGATCCCAAACTAGTTGCAAAGGATTAAAAAATTCACTTTTTTCCTCTTCTTCATTTTTCCATATTCCATTTCTGTGGGTGGAAGGAAGGAAGAAATGGAGAGAGAGAGGGGGAGAAGAGAGGGATGGAGGAGGGAAGGGAACGAGGAAAATTTTCCAAGAGGAAAAGATTATTTCAGTCAAAGAGAAATAAACACACCAAAACAAAATCAGAATAGCTCTCTTTATCCCCTGGTCTCTAGACTCACTGAGGACAAACACATCTTATGTAACTTTGTAGTCTCTACACAGAACACAATGTAGCCTTTAATAGGAAACCAATAAGCAGTCAGTCAGTGAATGAAGGAACAAACTTTGCTTTAAGATTGTTAAATAAAAATAATTATCCTGTAACTAACTGTTCTTCCTATTCTCTTTAAACACAGTACAAGTTTATTCGTTTAGAAATAAAGTTGATTTATTTAGAACATCTACCTATTTTTAATACACTGTACTGAAAGGCCTTATATTCAGTGTAATGTTAAGGGTAAATTTATGGTATTCTCATTTCTTGAAAATTGATAAACCAATTTGATACATAATAAATTTAGCTATAATATTTGAATAATTGACCCTTATTGTGCTTATAGCCTGTTTCTGAATAGACTAACACATAATTTAGCACTCCCTAGGAGAAACACATCCAAATTTTGAAATATGCCTGTAAGGATTATATAAATTTTGGCTAAATATATAAAATAAATCTAGTATCTAGTATAGGAAACAGCTCATAAAATAAACATAGTGATTTTGATATCCTTTTGATATCATTCTTTCCTAGGCCTGGTGTTAGGTTTAAATGTTCATTAAGAAAAACTGGCTAAAAATGAGAAACCACCATTCATCCTTATTAGGAAAATATGAGTAGGACACAGCACAGTAGAGAGACAAAACGCAAAGGCTCAAATTGTCTGAACAAACTTACACATGTCCAAGAATTCAGATTACGGCCCATACCCCACTTTCCAAGATAAGTGTATAAAATTACCGAAATCTGAGATAACTGGCTTCTTCATCATTTGCCACACACAAAATATCAGCGAAAGATGGAACTACATATCCACAGTTACCAGAGTCTACAGAGTTCAAGAGTGGGATCAACTAAAGGAAAAAAAGGAGGGAAAAGTCAGAGCTCTGAAGGGAGTTGGGGGAAGATACATACATGCCCATGGATATTAAATAAGTTAAAAACCCAAGAGAGAAAAGGAAAAGGATACTCAATAGAAATAAACATGCACCTATTAGCAAGAAAAAATACTGAGGAAAATATTATTCTAAAGTCTAAACATGTAGCAACATTCTCTCTCCTACTTAACTTTATGTATCATAAAGCACAAACTACAAGAATAAAAAAAAACTACTCATGTGTTTTCTACCTGCCCATCTTTGAATGCAATTATTTAAAGAAATAAACACAAAAACACATCAAATTACTGATTTCTGGAAATAAACAAAAGGTTTTTGGCTTGCAGGAAATATTTCTTCCTTTGTTATACCCAATATCCCAAGAATTACCTATGATTATTTTATACATAGTGGTTAAACAATGCACATCAACTGGCTTACCTCAAAATTAGGCCTGGGACAAGGGTCTAAAGGAAGAATTTTCCCAATAATACGAACAATACTCCGAGTTGATCCATAGTCTTTATTTTTCCAAATCTGCAAAACCTGTTTAACATAATGCATTGTTCTAAATTATTCTATTATGCATATTTATATATCTATGAAAAAAATGTAAAAGATGTAATTAAATTTATTTTTAAAAAGAAAATATAAAATTGTGTACTGAAAGCATTTTCTTCAAAGAATTAAACTTTATTAACATTTGTCTTTAAAGAAAACAAGATGAACAGATATACATTCCAGGAAGAGACCTTTTAAGAAAGCACCACAAATGCATTTTGTTCTATTTCTGATAATACCGTGGGGAACTTTGTTCAGAAAAACTGCTTCCCCTCCTCCCAGCTAAAAATGCCATCTTTTGGCTCAGTCAAAAATTGACAATTTTAATCTCTTGAGCAATGAAGTAATTCTCATGTAATTTCCTTTAAAGGAAAGATAAAGAGGGGAATGAATGAATCAAGTCCTGAACAATTTAAGAGATCTTAGAGTGGAATATACCTGCTGAAAGTCAGTTCTTGGAACAATAACAGAAATGAAATGTGCTACTCAGATATTTTGTTCTTTGGCTTGGGCTTCCCATATAGGTGTAAATTATTCCCATAGGAACCGCCCCCAAAATATGACATATATTTATTCTTTTGGCAGAGATCTTAAAGCATTTTCTGTTTAAAACGTGATAAAAATTGGACTTTTCATTTTTCCTAAGATCCTGTAACAAGGACAGAGTTTATTATGAGCAAAAGATCTAGGTAGCATCCTATTAGCATCCTCGTGTATATAGCCATTAAGCAGATGGACCCACAGTTTCAGAACTCAGAGGAGAAAAACTGGGATTAGAAAGATGGATTTGGGAATCATCGTCACACAGAATATATAAAATAAGCTAAAAACTGAAGCCATAGGACTAGTTGAGAAAAACATGGGGCTAGAGAGAAAGATTTGGAAGTCATCCTCCCATAGAATCCTTCTACACAAAATCATGCTATTGCTCTAGTTTTAAATGGTTAGGGATATGAATTGATCTCATCACATCCAAACAACTGTGTGCCAGCCTCACGATTCTGCCAGCTCCCTAACATACTCCATGCATTCTGTGTTCATTCTGCAATCATCTTTAAAGGTCTTTTGCCACTTGGCCCTACTCTAACCAACTTAATTTCCCACTATCCATTAACAAGAACACATGTTTTCCTCATTGTCTCAAAAACTAAGCTAATATTATCCTAACTGCCAAACATTCACCCATGTGCTCACAGGGCCCTGATCTAAGCCCAGCCCTAGCATGAGTTCAGTTTTCATCTGTCTTTTAATGTCAGATTCACATTCCTCTACAAATTTGATTATTTCTGCTCTTATGAACTTCCTAGCTCTGAATTCCTAAACTAGTTCTGGTTTAAGGAACTAAAATACATTAGGACACAAAATTACATGTTACTCTTATTTGCAGTTTTCTCTCTCCCGCCCCCTTTAAGACTGGGAACTCTTTGCAGGCAGACATGTTCATATTCCTTTTGAATCCTACAGGGCAGTAGTTTGTCACTGTAGGTATAGCAGAATCACCCCAGAAGGTGCGCTCCAAAAGAAATAAAATACAAACCACATATGTAAATTAAATTTTCCAATAGCCACATTTGAAAAAGTAGAGACAGATGAAATTAATTTCCTTAATATATTTTATTTAACTCAATATGTAAATATTATCATTTCAACATGTAAGCGATATTTTAAAAATTAATGAGATTATTTTACATTCCTTTCTTTCATACTGTCTTCAAAATCTATTTTATACCTATAGCAGATCTCAATTCAGACATTTCAAGTAATTAAAGGCGACGTCTGGCCAGTGGCTACCATATTAAACAGTGCAGCACAGAAGATACAGATCCCAGACCAATTAACACTAGAATCTTTGCCAGCCTGATTATCATTCATATGTGCACTCTTGCTAAGAAACACAGGCCTGGAGGCTTTGCTACAGTGAAGGCTCCGTATTATACATAGTTACCCTACTCTTGGTTAACTTGAATGGTACCTTCATTTTCTTGCTCTGCAATTTCCATCCTGACAAACTCCTATCCTTTGAACTCTCTCATTCTTTTACTGCCATTGACCATCTTCACCATTCTTACAGTTTCACGTCCTTCTATTCCTGGTCCAGGACCTTCATTTGGACTTTACCGACTTTCCTACCAAGCAGGGATTTTCAAGTTAATTGTTTCAGTGATATGCTCATTGCCACACAAAAAATGGTTCATCCTTTTGATGTCATGTGTTCTCATATTACTAAAGGCTAAACTACCCAACTACTCTCAGCTAGAGAAAAGAATTACAAAATAATATTTAGAAAGACTATAAATCCATGCTGACTTCAGCTGGGTATTCTGCACAGGTATTCTGCAACCCCTTCATAACATGTTACGTTCTATACTGTGTCACCCAAAGTGATTGCCAATCTCTGAAATCTCCAACACCACCACTTCCATCACCTGCAGGTGGCCTTGTCTCTGCTCTTACTGAGAAAACTGAAGACTACAATTTGAAATACTTCAATTTTCATTTCTCTCCATTCAAAATCTCCCCACCATCTCTCTCTTTTATTTTTCTCTTGACGGTCTGTCTTCTTTTCAAGGCTTGTTTATTTATATCCCCTTCCCAACTACCTTCTCCAGGGCATTGCTCAATCACTCTCATTTGTGTCTTAAATATTTTCCTATCTATGAGGTTCGTCACTAGTGCTTGCAAACGTGATGAAGTTTTGAAAAGAAAAAAAACTTCGTTCTTGCCACCCCTTCAAGTTGATGGCCTCTCTTGATTTCTTCTCACAAACTTTTCAAAAGAAGGTTACTAATGCCACTTCCCTTCCTCAGTCATTCTTCAAACTACTATAATACAGCTGCCACTCTCCACCTATGGAAATCCCTAAAGCCATCAAAATATAATGATAAGCAAATCTTCAACTAACACTCAGTCTGCATTATCTTCAATCTCACTATTTATCAAATTCAAAATGCTTCAATAACATCCAATGACATCTTTCATTATTCATCAAAGTCCATGGGTTCAAATACTAAAACAATGCAAATAACGCCTAATCTGAATCAAATCTTTTCATTCCTACATTCTAGAATCATTTATCCCATTATCTGCAGAATATCTGTATTTATATATTCTAACAGCACATCTGGTTCACCTTTTCTCTCTTAACTAATTCTTCATATTGAGTTGCCTATTTTATAAGAAAGGTACCATCATTCTTACTTACTTTTGTTTAAAATCTTGGAATTATCCTTGACTACTACTCTCTTCTAATTCACTACACCATATAGTGATGTCTATTCCATAAACTCCCCCCCACTACTTTGTCTTATATTCGGTCTTGTATTATACTTGTATTATGTGTTCCCTATTCCTCATATTATATTTTAAGCATCATTAATAAAAGAACTATGTATTACTACTCTACATCATCTGCAGAACAAAGCATTTCGTTTTAGATGTAGTAGATTCTCAATAAGTAGACAAAATTGGATTTGCTTATAATTCTCAGACTTAAGTCATCTTTTCTCAAGATTTATTCTGAATTGTTTGAGCTATAACTTGTCATTCTATATCCAAATATTAAAGTTACCTTTAATAAAACCACTAGTTAAAAATATAATTTACCTATACAATAAATGTAATCCAATGAAGTCATGTCTATATTTTGCTTGTTTGTATCTTTCATTGGCATTTTACCCATCAGGTAGTTTCCTAATAATCTTAATTATGTTTAATTCAAACTATCAAAGCTATACCACTGCAAATTCATTGTTACACCTAAAGAGAAATAACAATTTTGCCTTAAGTGTTTATATATAAATAATTTTCAAAATGAGACCCAAGAACAAATGCAACAGGTTCATTCAAATCCTTTAAAAAACATTTACCTGGTCCATGGGAACACCAAAATATTCCAATATCTCTCGTAAGATATTCAGTATGAGAGACATTGATGAAGTAAATACAGAAGCAAATTCAAGAAAACATTATCAGTTTCTTGATACCTTCAGGAAAAAAAATTTTAAAAATATTAATCTTGCAAATAAATATCACATAAATTGTATTAAATAAACTGGAAGAGTCCTTTCATTACACATCACACCATCAACTAATCTCTTTTGGCCAGCATTACCTTGAAGGAAGTCAAAAGGAGGAATGGGGAGTGGGAAGGCCTGGTAAAGGAAACTTCAATTTATCAATTAAATTGCATTAAAAGTTCATAGGATGATTGAGCCTAATAGACCGGGATTACCCATCCCTCTTCGTTCATTTTAAAGTTAAAGAAAAGGAACCCCAGATAGGTGACTTAACTTAGTTACCCAACTAGTATGTAACTGGCCGAGCCTAGCGTCGGGTCTTGTCCGCTTTGGCCGCAAGCTTCCTCGGGGGCTCTTCATAACCCAGCATAATCGCCTCGCTCACCTTCCTCCGAAGCCGAGCCTTTTGGCAAACACCTGAACATCAAGATGCGGTCTTTAAAGAACCCTGCCTCGGAATCCTCAGTCGACGAAACGGGCGTATGCTAGTCCTAGTGAAGGAACGCTCGGACCTGTGTCAGCCCGCGCTCCTCGGCTTGCAGGCCACAGGCTGTAACGACGCCCCCACTGCCCAGGGGCTGCGCCCTGGAGCACCTAGCTCAGCCGGGGTAACTCCAGTGGAGGCGCGGCCGCCTCCTCCCGTATTCCACACAACCTGCGGTTCTCCTCCAGGACTGGCACGCTACTTCCGCGTCCCTAGACGAAACTCAAACTCCGCGGGCCGTGAGTCGTGCCCAATCTCATTGGACAACGCTGAAGACCGCTGTTTGTGATTGGTTGCTGGACGACGTAAGGTTAGTTACGGTTATTTAGACTGACTACTGGGATTTTCCATCTCCTTTGAGAGGGCGGGCCTTCTGTGAGGCAGCCAATAGAAACCAATAGGCAGCTGCTGGGCGGGGCAGATCGCGCAAGGACTGGGACGCACGCGCGAGACAAGATATAGGTTTTCCCTTTCTCTCAAAAATGGGTGTCTTCAGCCGGGCGTTATGGAGCTATTACGGGCCCTTCACTAGGCCGCGATCCGGAGTTCGTGCCCCACACAAATCTTAGAAGGAAAAGTATGTCGCCCCCTCTACCCAGACCCAAAGCGGGGCTGCTCTCCTAAGTCCGTTTGCCGCGAGGAGTCGCGATTTTTTTGATCATCGTTCAATGAGCAAACATCTAATATGTGCTTCTGGTACTAGCAGAAGCTAAACACTGTCCTCGAGGGATCTGCAGCTTTGCAGTACTTAGAATGTTACATCACGAAACGCTCCTGGTTATCCAGGCTACCAAATATGGGCTAGACACTGACCTGGCCGAGCCGCGGATGGCAAAGTGATGACTAAGTCATGACAGGTGATATTCCAATTTTCAATTCTGATTTGAGGTTACTGGCTTCATAAAAGCCGTTTCCTCTCATATTTAAGTGACGGATGAATTAGAGTGACATGACAATTTAAGATCAACTGTGCCTGCTGCTGACCTACATAATAAAAAAAAAGTGGTTACTTTTTAACCAATTTCTCTATGGCCCATAACATTTATACATTCAACTAACACTGTATGTCTGCTGTGTGCCAGGCACCATTCTAAGCACAGGGGGAAGCAATAATGAGCAAGGCAGGTAAGCCCTTGCCCTCCTGGAGATTCCATTGTGAAGACCTCAAAGAGGTTTGCTCTGAGCACCACAGTATCTATCCTTACTCTCCTTATTTTTCTTTATAGCAGTTATCACCATGTATATTTATACTGCCCCCTACTGTCAAACTCTACTGTAAACTCCAGAACAGGAATTGTTTGGACTCATGCTGTATCACCAGTGCTTTAGAAGAGTGCCCGGCATATAACAGGCATTTAATCAATACTGCTGCTGAATAAAATAATTGGATATAATAATGGGATGAGAGAAAACACACCAGGAATGACTTGGAACTCGGCAACTGGCAGTGATTACAGTGACAGGACCAAATAGCCTCAACTAGATTAGGATGAAAGTAGAGGCAGGAGAGGGGTGTTGGGCAATGTCAAAGTAGAAAGCAAATGAATCAGCAACCCTACATGAAATTAGTAAATCATAACATTCTCAAATTCCTTTTCCTTCTCTTTTTCCCTCACAAGTAAATAATCTTATACCCTTCTCTCTTTCCAGTCTGATATCAAACAGCACATAGTAGACAGGGCTAGAACAAAAGCATCCCTTGAGAATATAATGGGAACCAGTACTAAAGGCTCCTTCAGGCTGCACTTTTCATACAGCTCAACATTCAACATTCAGTACCAGGCAGGTTGGTGGTTTGCTACCATCCACTATTTGGGGTTCATGAGAAAAGCTTATTACCTAGTTTAATTGCAAATGCTAATGCTGTGCAGATATTTGCTTTTGTTATTTTTCCAGAACCACTAATACATTATTATCATTATACTATGTTCTAGATTCCCAAGATGAAGAATGCCAAGCATTCTTTTTCAGTGAATTAATGGAGAGAGGATGAGTGCTGGCTTGGAAAAAGGCTAGAAAGATATATACTTAATCTTGCCAACTGCCTAGACAACTCCATTAGCCTTGTGACTGACGTAAGCCTGTTTTAGGTAATTAGGTGAACTCAAATTACTGTTAATTATCTTAATGGGGCAGAATACAATATAACACGCTATCAAAATACGCAATAGCCTCTCCAACCTTAACCATGAGTGATCTTCAGATTGGGATGTACATGCCCAGAAAGTTAAGTTTTATATTTCAAAAAGAAAAATACTTAGGGCCTTTTTCCTTGTTCCGCCTGTGCTTGAAGCCTCTAAGGGTACCACACAGTACACTTAAACAGACTACTGCTATTTAAAAGGTTACACACCGCTCAAAGGTTCATTATAACTTTACATTTATTCAAAAATTGGAGAGATTAATTCAGACCAAGACTTTCTTTGGCATTAAAATGTTTTAAATCAAATTCTCCTGAAATTTTCCTTTTTTCTATGCACAATAAAAATGATTAAGTAATGGAAAAGAGTGGAGCCCTATGACCTAAATATCTATAAACTATTTACTTATAGGGATGTAATATTAATATTAGAAAATCTAAGTTAAATGTTTAGTCTACAATCAGAATTTGAACTTTTAAATAATTTATATAAAGCCTAGGTTATGCTTAGTAGTTGAATCCAAAGGTATTATATAACTTTTTAAACAAAAATACATGCCAGAACTATAAGCATAAAGGTTAACTGTTGCTTGATTTTCTGGTTCCATTATTTTTAGATTTGTGACTTGATAGTCTATTATGTTTTCTTATACAATCACAGGTTCACAACTAGGTATGCTTTGATTCTTGTCAATTACTTAAAAAGAGTTGGTTAAAACCTAGAATACAGGAAAAATAATTAAAGAATATCCTGCCAGTCTTCTGTATCATCCAGATAGTACATCAGTACTACAAATGCTTCCATTTAGTCATTTTCATTTTTGGCAATAACTCATACATGTCAATATTGCCATGGTCTTAGTAACGAATAAAAAAGTTCCACTTCATAAAAATTCCAAATAAGTTATTTTGTCTTCCAATAGCAAATTGTCATCCAAAGATTTGGCATGTGGGCATAAATCTTAAAACAGAAATGCTGCACTGCTATATTTTTTTCAATGTTATATAAATGAAATTAATTTTTTAAAAAATCACTGATCTCAGATGGTAACATCTAATTTAATAACGCAAGGACCTTAAACTATAGCTCTTAATCCTAAATATGTAATCCAGAGAACTAGCTTCAGGTAGCACAGCATTCCAGAGAAGGACAAATATCCAGATTCTCCATACTTCTCTAAGCAGAAAACTTGCTATTCACAAGCTGCCTACTCTTTTTAAATACCTAGTCGTCAAATATTAGCTGACTGCGTTATGTCTGTGTACTTATGATTTTTTATCTAATGGCCTCTAAACATGGAACATGTTAGACAAAATGTTATTTTGGTTCTATATGATTTGACTTTTGTTTTCTCTTCTAAGGAAAAGCCCTTTAAGTACTTAAACTAGAATCAAGGACCTATCTTAGCCATCATTTTTCTACAGTAAACACACATTTTCCAACTACTCACATGACACTATTTCAGACCTGCAGCTTGTCTGGTATGCCCTTAACTTTGAATTTCTTTTCTCTTAAAAACGTGGTACTCCAAAACCACACACAGAAGTTGATGAGCAATGTTTAAAAAGATGAATGAACAAGGAGTTGGATAATGCAAGACAAAAAACAGCTCAAAGAATTCCTATAGTTCATCTTGAATATAAAGTTTAGGCAGCAGGATGACATCGAGGGGATTTTAGCTTAAAAATGACATTAACTTTGTAATGGAAAAACATCCCACAGATGACAAAGGATAAAATTGCAGGGTCATAAAGTTCAAATTAAGAGACTACTGCAGCAGCTAGGGCAAGTGATAAGCATCTTTATCATAGTAACATGGGGTGTGAAAAAGAGGAAACTTTAAATTTTGAAAGCTATCACAAAATGTATGCATAATTATATACTGGCATTAAATAAAGTCTATTTTATAGCTTTTTATGCATACATTGGTGGTAATATTCAACTTTTCAAAATTCAAATTGTATTTAACATTCCCGTCATGGCAACCTTAGAAATACCCTGGAAGCTTAATAAAGTTTACTTCCCTTTCTAGTACAAACAAGACAGAAAAATTAGGACCTTCTATAGTCAAAGACTAGGTAAGACAGCAAGTAAACCATTATTATGGTGGGTGAGTGGTATTTATTTTTCTGTGGCCCTTTACATTCCATGAAATTTGCAATTACTATCATACTAACAAGAAGTTATTGCCAAATATTTCATGTAAACCCTTTCACGTCATCTAATTTTGTGGTGTGCTTACTATCATCTACTTTTATTAAACGGAGGGCTCATTATTACTGAATCAGGAAGTTGGGCAACCCCATGAGATTAAGCGAAATCTGATTCCAGTTCTTACGGAATAGCATAAAAACCCATTTGCCCAACCCTTTTCTACTTACCAGAATCAAAACTATCCTCTGCATTTTAAGAGTTCTGTAAATCAGCTCACTGTTGTTAACACCTAAAATGTCCATCGGAAAAATATTTTTCTTATGTACGTACCATTATGATGACATTAATTACATACTTATATGAATGTACAACTTTGGTTTCATTCTCACAACTGATGCACACTAGTCATTACTGAATGTTTGTGAAAAATAAGGAAGCCGGCTCATAAATCCACATAATAGCCAAGGCTTCTGAGTCAATGCAATACAACTAATTTCCCTATGCTGCTAGATTCGAAGAAACTGATAACCAACCTTGTTCACTTAAAACTTCACTAACAGATTCATTTTTAACATCTACCTCTATAAACTGAATTAGACCCTTGACATTCAGATTTAAAAATGTTTCAACTATTTGAGAACCCTAGATTTAACAGATAATACTCTAAGTTTTTAAGGGTTAGATCAAGATCTACCACCCAGAGACAAAATCTAGCCAAATACAATCCCATGACAATAAAGTTTCTTTTTCCATTTGCCTTCCCTATTTAGCGACTTCATGAATTGAGACAGGCCTCTGTACTTCTGAATGTGAAATATACTGTTACATATGGAAACAGTATATCCCACAGGGATTCCAGCTGAAACCCCAAAAAAAATAAACTACGTAAATTTTTTTTAAAAATTAGAAAACATCCCTGAGAGCGCATG